CCTCTATTCTTTAGGAACTACTATTTCATGTCTTTTTTTTGGCTGTGTATCTCCAATTGGAGAGGATATATCGATATACTGTCATATTATATATATATATATGAAATACATATATATCTTTATGCAGAAGTTCATTGTAAGGTATTGGCTGCTGTGATTATGGAGGCAGAGTTCCACTGTCAGCCATTTGCAAGCTGGAGACTAGGAGGCACAATGGAGTATTTTGAAGGTCTGAGAGCCACGATATGGATTCCAGTCTAAGTTTGAAAGCCTGAGAACCAGGAATGCCAAGGGTGGGAGATGTGGGTACCAGCTGATCAGTCAGGCAGAATTAATTTAATCTGCCTTCAACTTTTGTTGAAGGAAGATGTCCACCCATACTGGCAGGAGCCATCTATTGTATTGAGACTACCAATTCAAGGGCTAACCTCTTCAAAGATACACTCAGAAATTATGTTTAACCAAATGGATGGGTACCTGTGGCCCTATTAAGCTGACACATGCAATCAATCACACAACTGGTTCCTCCGATATTTGCACTGTATTTCTAAGTGACATGCTTATACTGCCGTTTTTGTTTTGTCTTCCCAGTATTGGGGATTGAGCCCCAGGATCTCTTACATGCTTGGCAGGCACTCTACCACTGAGTAACATCCTCAGTCCTTTTAATTTTTTATTTTGAGGCAGAATCTCAGTTGCCCAGCCTGGCCTCAAACTTGCTATCCTCCTGCCTCAGCCTCCAGAACAGATAATATTACAGGTATGCACCACCATACCCGATACTGCTGTTTCTTGATATTTTGGTTTGAAATATTACCATTTGCTATCAGTTCTTGTCTCTACACTTATCAGATTATTAAATGAACACTCAATATCTCTTATAACTTTTACATGCACAGTATTCAGAGTTGAACTAAGTATAAAGACTGTTTTTTTTTTTCTTCCTGGTTCTACTTTTAATTTTTCTTCACTTAATATTCACTTAATAGTAGCCTAGTTTCTTTGCTTAGTTTGCTCTACAACTATGACAAATTATTTTCCTCAATCTCAGAAAGAATGATCAATATCCTTTAAGATCATTAAGCACATAAGGTAACCAATTGGTTTCTTTTATCAAATTTTAAGATATCCACCCTGTAGTTCTCCAGTGTCTTGTTCCAATCTGTTACATGGTCTTCTAGGACTTTAATTCCAGCTTCTGGCGCAGAAATCCCTTGGCCTTCATGCCCCTTGCTCTTTCCTTTGATTCTGCTCTGTGCTTTCTCTCGGGGTTCATATCATCACTGTTCTTTTTGGTCTTTGGTTGGGTTCAGCCAAGGAAGGAGGGAGGAAGAGAGTCAAGTTGGGGCACTGATTCCCCCAACTCCCTCCCTTTATCTAAAGCAGGGCTTCTATCAGGCCACCCTCTTCACCTAGCTCTGTCTATCTCCCGGCCTGTTGAGGCCTAGGGTGTTCGCAGGCCCAGAATGCTACACTGCTCCTTGTTGCTTTCCTTAACCCCTCCAAGTAGTCCACAGCTCTGTAAAAAGTCCCTCCATTAAGCTCTTCTCAGTTACCTCCATTAAGTGTGTAATCTGGTTCTTTCCCTCTTTTTGGTGACATACATCCACCAGCAGCTTTCTGAGAAAGGGTACATGGGAGGTCATTTTTCACACGTTACTTGTCTAAAAATGTCTAATTTTGCAGGGCGTGGTGGCACACGCCTGTAATCCCAGTGGCTCAGGAGGCTGAGGCTAAGCCACTCGGTGAGACCCTGTCTCTAAATAAAATGCAAAATAGGGATGGGGATGTGACTCAGTAGTCTAGTGCCCCAAGTTCCATCCTTGGTACCAAAAAAAAAAAAAAAAAAAATCTAATTCTACCCTTATACATAACCAATTGTTTGGTGGGGATGGAATTCTGGGTTAGCGATAATATTCCCTCTTTTCTTTTTTTTTTTAAACCTTTATTTTATTCATTTACTTTTATGTGGTGCTGAGGATAAAACCCAGTGCTTCACGCATGCCAGGCTTGCCACACCCCCAGCCCTCCCTCTTGTCTTTTTTGCTTCATTATTTTCTAGCTTCGGTGATCACAGTGGAGAACATTCTGAGGACATTCACCCATTGCATGTGACTTTTAAATTTCCAAAACCCCTTAAATCTTTTTAATTTTAGGTATGAAATTCAATAATACTGCAGCTTGTAATGGGTCTTTTTCATTTATTGTGCTGGGTGCTCAAAACTTTCATTCAGTCTGAAGGTTTGTTGTTCAGCTATAGAAAATTTGCATGATTTATTTAATGATTTTCTTTATGTGTTTTTCTTTCTAAATTTGGGCACTGGCACTCAATCTTTTGAGTTTTCTTGTTTTTTAATTTCTCATTTTCCTTTGGTTTATCTTTGTTTACTTTCTGAAAGATTTCTTTATCATTAAACTCTTCTCCTTAATATAAAATTTTTGTTGTAGTCTCCATTTCCAAGAGCACTTTCTTGTTCTCTAAATACAATATCCTAAAACAACAACAACCACAACCACAAACTTTAAACTGGGCATGATGGCACATGCCTGTAATTCCAGCTACTCAGGAGGCTGAGACAGCAGGATCCCAAGTTTGAGGACAGCTTCGGTAACTTAAGAAGACCCTGTTTCAAAAGAAAGAAAGGAAGAAAGAAAAAAGAATTAAATTAAAAGAAAAGAAAAAAAAAGAATTAAATTAAATTAAAGGACTGGAGATGCAGTTCAGTGGTAGCTTGTCCCTGGCCTCAATCCCCAGTACTGAAAAAACAAACAAACAAACAAAACCCCACAAAACAGTAGTAGCAACCACGGTTTTATGATCTTATTTCATGGATTCTGTCTCCTTTATCTCTTTAAGCATGTCATTATTTTTTATTCAAGAGTTTTTTTCCCCCTACTATCTACTTGCCTCAGTTTCCTGAAGTCTTTTTGACTATTTCTTTTGGTCTCTTTCATGATAGACTTTCCTAAAAGGTCTGATGATTTTTGGCTGTTCACTAATATTTAAGAGTTAGAAATAAAAATGTCACCCAAATCTTAGCCTATTTGGAGTTTGCCTAACTGTGAAACTTCACAGTAAGAACCCCAGACACAGTTCAGATTGTTAGCTAATTTCTTCAGTAGGAAGTTTTTTAATACAGTTCCACCGAAAGAACTGCACAAGACAAAATGAGATGTTTACACCAGAATGTAAATCAATGTATTGCTTACCTCCTCTATTCAGAAAATCTTGCTAAGCAGGTTGAGGGAGATAACTCACAGGACACTCAGTGATCTTGTATAAAATCCTTATCTTGTTGCAGATCAGTAATAAAGACCAATTTATAGACCACACATTGGGTAGCAATGCTTTAATCTCTAAGGACTGAAACTCTGGATGCCAAAATTCTGGGGCCCAATGTAGCCTAGGAGCTAAATGTATTACTTGTAATCAGTTGATTTTCACTTGTTACTGGGAAAAATCTCACTTGGGCATAAAATACTATCATTTCTGTACATTGCTGGATTCAGCTTGGTGGAATTTTGTTAAGAATTATTTACATTTATATATATATTTTAATAGCTTTTTAAGCTAATTATTTTTATGTGGTGCTGAGGATCAAACCCAGTGCCTCACAGGTGCTAGGCAAGTGCTCTACCACTGAGCCAAACTCCCCGTACCTACATTTATATTCTTGAGGGATACTGGTGCTTAGTTTGTGCTTATGTGTGTGTGTTGCTTGTGTATTGTAATATCATTATTGAGTTTTGGTGTCAGAATAATATTAGCCTTGTAGAATCAGTTGGCAAGTATTTTATTCTCTTCAAGTTTTTGGAAGCTTTTACATAGCATTGGTATTATTTTGGCCTGACTGGTAGAACTCACCAAAAAATTCATATGGATTCTAGAGCAGTTTTATTTTAGTGGGGGAAACTTTTAACTACAAGTGCAATTTCTTTGATAGAAACAGGGTTATTTGAGTTTCTATTTCTTTTGAGCACATTTAGGTAGCTTATGTTTCTCAATGAATTTTGGTCAATTTTTTAGTTGTTGTAGGTAGAAGAGTAAACCTGGTTTTGGTTATTCTATCTTTCTTTTTAAACTTTATTTTATTTATTTTTTTATGTGGTGCTGAGGATCAAAAATGGTGTCTCACACATGCTGGGCAAGTGCTCTGTCACTGAGCTATAACCCCTGTCCCTGTTATTCTATCTTGATTGAAACCAAAAGTTCCTTCTAGTCTATATTTTATACTATATTAATTAATATATACTATATAATAGTGTACTGTTATGATATATTAAATATATATATATATTTAGTAGATGTAAATCATACTATCATGCTGTTTTGTGTCCCAACTTTTTCAATAATCTCATTTACTGATCCTGTTCAAATACTTTAAAGTATTTTTTTATAATATCTTTATTTTATTTATTTTTATGTGGTGCTGAGAATTGAACCCAGGGCCTTGCATATGCTAGGCAAGTGCTCTACTGCTAAGCCACAACTGCAGCCCACTTTAAGATATTTTTATAGTACAACTTGAAAATGAAAATATTAGAATCTTAAAACTCCTAATGTTGTGTCTAATTAATACAGGGCTAGCAAAATGTTTACAAGTATGTACTTTTAAATGATTGCATACTGCTTTCTCTAAAGACCTCCTAGACATTTTCTAAAGCAAAACTTTGATAAGCTGCCCATCTATCTCATTGCTAGGGATCTTGTAATTGTTAATTACTGCCACAAATCTCTTGTGCTAAAACACTTGATTAACATTTCCTCTGTGCAGATTAATGTGGTAATTGCATCTGTCTTGTCTCTCCTGATTAAATGCTGCCACCCGGCCTCCTCCTCCTGGATCCTATTATCCTACTGAAATCAGTATCCTCAATTTCATGGAAACCTTTCTTACCATCATGGCTGACTGTAGTGGAAGCCAACACAGAGCTTTTCGAGGATTGGGGGCCTCCCATATCAAGGCATTTTATTAACTGATCAACCTTTTCCTACTTACTAATTTAGTAATGGCTTGATGAAGGGAAGCCTCCAGGCCACCGAGAGGTCACATTTGATGCATGGATGAAGAGATCTGCTGAACACACCCATTTCCCTGAGCCTTAGGTTTCATTCCTACATAAAAGAAAATTTGGCATTCAGTTTCATTCACTAAGGCCACCCTTGCAGCCAGACTCATGAGCCCACAAAGCAAATTGTTATAGTCACACCCAGGGACTTGGACAAACATATCAAATATCCATATTTTATATATTGATAAGATCTAAGCTTACATTTTTTTTCTCCTTGGACTAACACTTTTAGAATATGTCTGTATGCTCCCCAAATTTCTGACAATCCCAGTTGCCTTCAACTGATATGTTTTCTATATGTATAAAGTTATTTTCTCCCCTACAAAAGACCTTGCATTTTTTCCTCTGAGCTATGCTGGGATTAATTAATGTGGGCTTAGAGGTTTGGTGGGATTCTTGAGGTGGGTCTTGAGGAGACAGATTTTTTTAAAAATTTAGCTACTGTCAGCATGTAGATTATATTTAAGCTGTAAGACAGATGTCACCACTCAGACACTGAGCATAGGACAGGAAACAGAGGTGCAAGGACCACACTGAACACTTATGAGATCAGGCTGAGGAAGATGAATTAGCAAAGGAAGAGCAGTCCATGAGGTATGAAGAGAACTGTGATTCCTGGCAGCGAGTAACGAGTGTTTCAAGGAAGAAAGAAGTCGGTGGACTGGCCACATAAAGGTTACTGATGATCTTTCTTTTTTTTCTTAGTTGTAGTTGGACACAATACCTGTATTTTAATTGTTTTTATGTGGTGCTGAGGATCGAACACCAGCGCCTTGCACATATTAGGCCAGCACTCTACTGCTGAGTCACAACCCCAGGCCCTACTGGTGATCTTAGTAGGCTGTTTGAGTTGAATGATAAAAGCAAAACCCTACTTGGAGGTGTTCAAGAGAAGACATGGGTGGGAATTGTAGATATAGAATACAGGCAGCATTTTGAGAGTTTTGTTAAGATAGGAGAAGAGAAATGGAGTAGAAGAGGGAGGAGGCTGTCAGGTTAAGGGAAGATACCTCTCTCTCTCTCTCTCTCTCTTCAGTATTGGGGATTGAACTCAGGGCTAGACAAGCACTGCAGTACTGAGCTTCATCCCTAGCACTTTATTTTATTTATTTCCTGCCTCAGCCTCCTGAGTAGCTGGCAGGTGAGGGCCACTGTGCCCAGCAAACTAGCTCTTTCTTTAAGATGGGAACTTTTACAGCATGTTTTTATTCTCATATGAATGATTCAGTAGAGACCAAAAATTTATGGAGAAGGGTGAGAGGAGAGTTGCTAGAGTAATGCCCTTGATGAGGTGAGACAAGATGGAATGAGACCTAATGCGAAAATGGAGGAGTTGGCCCTAGGAGCACAGCAGTTCATTTTTAGAAAGAGGAGGAAAGACAGTATCTGGGCACAGATGTAGGTGGGCAGATGTGATGATGGTAGGAGCTTGTGGAAATGCTCTCGTGAGAGTTTTCTTTTCTTGATAAATTATTAAGTAAAATTGAATCTGAAACTTTATTTTTGAAATTTTTACTAAGACTATATGAAAATTTTACAAAATTTATTTTTCACTGAATGATTTATTTAATTACATACAGTAAAATTCATAAATGTAATATATATAACTGGATAAATTAAGATAAATCCACCCTCCCATATAACGAATACCCCAGTCAAGACAAACCTAGGACATTGCCCTTTGGTTCATGGTTCAAAGGACTTGGTTCCCTTTCAGTGTCTTCTATCCAAACCCCTTATCCTCACCTCCCTGTACCCCACATTCAGAAAATCCAGGCAACAACTACTCTGATTTTTAATACTATATACTAATTTTACCTGTTCTTTACCTTCATGTAAATGGGATAATGTGGTGTTTTGGGTCTGGCTTCTTGTACTGATGGGTTTCAATAGTTCATTATCTATTACTTGGAGTAGTATGTCATTGTAGGAGTGTGCCATAATGTGTTTATTCATTCTCCTACTGAACACTTGGATTATTTTAAGTTTGGGGCTGTTGTTAACATTCTTGGGCTAACCTCTTGACAGTTGTTTTTAATTTCAAAATATGTACATTGGGAAAGATCTACCCCCTTAGCTGCAGATTCATACTCTAGGTTCTTAGGTTTTGTTTTGTAATCTGAGGATTGAACTGGGGTCTTATGTATGTCAGGTGTTGTGGTTTAGATGTGAGGTGTACCCCAAAAGCTCACATTTGAGTCAATGCAAGAAAGTTTAGAGATGACATGACTGGGTTATGAGTCTTAACCTAATCAGTGCATTAATCCCCTGATAGGGATTAACTGGGTGGTAAATGTAGGAAGGTAGGGTGTGGCTGGAGGAGGTGGGTTACCATGGGTGTGCCTTTGGGGTCTATAATTTGTTCCTGGTCTGCAGTATCTCTCTCTTTCTCTCTGCTTCCTGGTGTGATGACCTGAGCTGCTTTCCTCCACCATACCCTTCCACCATGATGTTCTGCCTCACCTCGAGATTTGAGCTCCATTCAGAGCCAGCTGTCCATCGACTGACACTGTGAACACCAAACTTTTCTTCCTCTAAAACTGTTCTTATTGGGTATTTTGGTCATAGTAACAAAAAAGCTACTTAAAACACTAGGCAAGTACTCTACCACATCCCCAGCCCTGGCCATCATTCTTAACTCCTCCTTTCCCTTATTGCAGTGTCCAAACATTCACCATGTTCTGTCAATTCTATTCTTTAACTATATTTGTTTGTATACATCTTTTGAATCCAACCACTTATCTACCACAATTATTAATTTTTTATATTTATCTTTTGGTTGTAGTTAAACACAATACCTTTATTTAATTAATTAATTTATTTTTATGTGGTACTGAGGATTGAATCCAGGGCCTCGCACATGCTAGGTGAGTGCTCTACCACTGAGCCACAAACCCAGCCAGTTGCTTCTGCTATATACTCTACAGCACATACTTGTTGAATTTTATTTATTTCCCACTAGCTTCAAGACACCAGTTCTTTCACTGTTGCTTTCCAATGCTCAGCACATAGGAAAAACTTAATAAACATCTGTTAACTGAATAAATTAATGATGTTTAATGGGCTTTAATGTCCACACTTAATTTGGAATTCTCAATTTGCTTGCTTTCTTAGATTAGATGAATACATACTTGAGATTTTTTAAAAAAATTTTTTTTAGTTGTAGATGAACAAAATTTATTTAATTATTTATCTGGTGCTGTGCCTCACACATACTAGGCAAATGCTCTACCACTGAGCCACAAGCCCAGCCCTACTTGAGATTTTTTTTTTTTTAAAGGGAACATCATTGGCACTTTCCCCCTACAGTTCCTTATGATTTCTCTTGCTATCACACACACACACACACACACACACACACACACACATTGGTTCTCATTGAAAAGTATCTCAAATTTCAAGTTTTATTCATTCAATTTCAAATTTCAAGTTTTTACAAAAATTTTTAGTTTTTGACAGACCCTTATTTTATTCATTTATTTATATGCAGTGCTGAGAATCAAACCCAGTGCCTCATCTATGCAAGGCAAGTGCTCTACCACTGAGCCACAACTCAAATTTCAAGTTTTATTCATTCAAACTTTGTTACAAATCCTGTTATACTGAAATCTGTAAATGAGACCCACCTGATTTTCTTTTAAGAGAGAGAGAGAGAAGAGAGAGAATTTTTTAATATTTATTTTTCAGTTTTCGGTGGACACAACATCTTTATTTTATTTTATGTGGTGCTGAGGATCGAACCCAGCGCCCCGAGCATGCCAGGCGAGCGCATCACTGCTCGAGCCACATCCCCAGCCCCCATCTGATTTTTGATCATTTATAAGTAATCTGGTTTAATTTGTTTGGATGCTTATAAAATCCTCATTACCCCTCTCCAACAAGATATGTTTAGATGTGGATCTTTCTCCATCAATTTAATGTTACATTTTTTCCCTCTATTTTAGGTCTTCTTTTAGATCTAGACATTTTTATTTAACTTGTCTTTGATTTGCTGTTACTTCTGTCCAACTTCCTGTAGGTTATTCCTCAGATCTACTCTTAATTCTCAGCTTGGGTTTTAGCTCATCTTCTTTTGTCCTTTGGCTTCTGTTTTGTACAGGCCACAACTTCAGAATTTCTTATGGAGAATTCCGAAGAGAGATATTCTCCATATTTTTTTCTAAAAGAGATATCTGTTTCCTTTGAAATCCACTTTCAGAGATAAGCAAGATTTCTGAATCTTCAGGATCTTTTCCCCCTTTCTATATTATTTTTACATCTCTCTTGAAACAAGCTCTCTTGGCTTGGGATATGGTTCTGGGTTCAAGGAAGTAGTGCAGGTTATGTGCGAGTCAGTAGGGCCGGCCACCAGCCATGGGTGGTGTCACCGGGGAGTCAAACTCTCAGAGCTTGCCAAGCAGCCCCCAGGATCAAACGATAATCTGAAACATGAATCTGCAGGGGGAAGATGAATTTAAGAACTGGATCTTTTCCAAAGGTCGTCAGGCAAGATTGACTTTAGTTAGTAGGTTCTGAAGACAGAGCCAGGAATGTCAACCTGAGGAAATAAGTGCACCACGTGAGCATGTGGTTGTCTTCACAGGGAATTATTAAGCCCTTAAGGCAGTTTGGATATTTTTTTCTCCCTCTTTATTTTTCACCCATTTTCAGTATATCCGAAATATATTCCGGCGGAAATATGGACTTCCTTTGGCTCCATCTTGGGTCTGTAACTAAAAGCCAGATGGATACGCGCAACGTCAGAGTAAGTCCTCGTGCTTTTTCTGCCTGATTTCTGCTGTATTGCAACAGGACGAGACAGCTGTAATGTCCCGGCCTGAGGGAAGGAAACTGACTGATTCTCAGCCAAACCAGTAGAATCCCTGATTTGTTGTCATCTCAGTAAGCACTGTGACCAGCATGCTGCCTGAAGATTGTGTTCATAGGGACAAATCTGCTAGCGCAAACGGACAACTATTGTCTCTTCATCCACCTCATCCTTCCCCACTGAATTTTGGAAGTTTCAGTCTCCATGTACACAAAAAATGAGGATAGCTTCTGACA